GTTAGCTCACTCGGTGATTGAAAAACAATAAGAATATTATATAAAATAATTACCTCCGCAACTTCGAGAATATCATCGTCATCAGACTCATCTTGATCGACATTATCGCCGTCGTGCAGCTCTATGTCGAATATTCCGGCCATATTATTGGTAATTAGCAAATATTTTTTTTAATAACAAATTATATCTGATTACATCGACTGTTGCTGATTCGTTGCGTTCTAACAAACTAAACTAAATTATTTTTTTTATATCGCGTGGTTATCAAGGTCGTTTGGATACGCCTCAACACTAAAATAATAATTCTGCTCAATTAATCTCACGATTAATTAACACAACCAGCAATAATATTCTCGTTATATTATTCAACTGATATACACACTATGTGTGTTTTTTTTGCCAAGCACAAGGGTTAAGATTTTAGTTTCGTCTTGAACGTATTTTGCCCGGATCAAATACCACTCAGTATTTATCACTAAACTCGATCTTCCTGACCTCTGGTGGTTTTTTAAACTAACATTCTTGCTTAACAAATTCAACAAAAAAAATTTTTAGATGAAGGAAAAATTGTAAGTAATTATTGTAATTATAATTAAAATAAAATCTCTAAATATTTATATGAAGAATATATTTTTAGATATTTATATTAGTGATTGCTTTACTCTTTAAAGAAGCGAATTATCAATAGAAATCGTTTACAGGAATACTTAGCAGTGTATCTATCATCAGCAGTTGACTGATTTTATCTTTGTTTTATTATTGTTTATAATTATATTTAATTGCGTCGATTAAATATCTTATCGTTTTTCAATTTTAATATTTTTTTTTGTTTCAGAGCAAAATCGAACTTGGGTAATAGATTTTATTAATAAATACGGTCGAGTGTCGTTATGATTAATATGTTTGTTTCTTTTTTTTACAGCCAGACTCGCGTTAGTATGAGAGAGACACTAATAGGACTCATAACGAGACTCTACTATAAAACAAAAGAATTTTTTTAAATTATTGCAACACATAACATTTGAAGATATAATTCAATAATCAAGTGTTTAATATATTTGTATTATTATTATTATTGTAAATTTGTATGTTTATATATAATATTTATTTTGATATTTTTGCAGGTCTATGATGATACTAAAATTACCAAACATCTGACAGTTTTTGAAATTTTGATAACAAATCAATTATGATAAAAAAAAATATTTTTGAAAATTCGCATTTATAATTTTTTTTTAATTTCTACGTGAAAATTTTATGATTCTAAAATTAGCTGACAACGGTCTATTTTTTTTATTTTTATAAAAAAAAAAAGCTTTAAAAAATTTCCACTAATGAATTTTTGTAATTATTACATGTGGAATTTTTTTATTAAATTTTTTTCATAACAATTTCATTGCTATAAAATTCTAAGAAATTTTCCAAAGTTAATTTTCTAATCTTGAATTTTTTTCACTAAATTTTTTCATAATAATTTAATTGTTATAAAAATAATTTTAATTTTCAGATATTTTTTGATTTCAGTATTAACCATTGGGAAGAATTTTGGGAATGGATGAGAGCAGCGAAATTAAAAAGATAATATTCGTTTCAACAAATTGAAGATTATCATCGAAAGTTTATAAAAACATATCAAGAATAAATTTAATTTAATAAACTTATATTGGAGCTACAATGGTAAATTTATGAAGAACGTCGCAATTCGATGAATTAATTTTTTATATTAATTTATTTAGATATTCTATATTTTAAATAATTAACCTTATTTATTGAAGTATGAGTACATATTTATAAAATTAATATTTTTCATTACTTATTCGTACATACATTCAATCTTCTTTTTTCCTTCATATCTTCTGTAGCAATCAAGATAATTAATTGTTTTCATTTCTAATGTTTACTGATGAAAATTTGATACATTAATATAAAACTAAAAATATTAACTAATTAATGAGGAGTTATTTAATTCATTATATGTTAATCGTAAGTAATATAATTTAAAAGTTAATATAACTAAAAACTATTTAAAAATATATAGTATCACTACTATTACAAGAAAAATTTCTTCCTTTTCAAAAAAAATATTTAAAAAGTTACGGAGTGGTAAATTAAAAAAAATCAATTTCTTTAATATCTTCAAGAGATGAATGACCGACTTAAAAAAATGAGTGTGAACTTAGCGGACACCAGACAATCGATATTCCGGCGAAGGAATCGAATTTAAAAAATTACACACCGCCAGTCCGGTCAAAATCGGGTGATTCGTTCGTGAGTTATCGTGAACGAAAGAAAACCGAAAAAAGTATTTTTTCGGAATTACTCTTAAGTTTTTGGTTCGATCAATTAAAACCTGAAAATAATTTATGAGAATGATAAAACTGCGTCGAATACCGCCAACCGCGTGAAAATCGGTTGATCCATTCAAAAGTTATTGCGATTTGAAAATTAAAAAAATAGTGTTTTATCAAACTTCCATCAAACTTTTGAGCTCGAAGAGTTCAAAAGCATACACAAATTGTATTTATGAGCTCGAAGAGCTCTAAAACGTCATAAGTGCAATTTCAAGCGTTTAGGTATAGAATTGGCAGGAAGTTGCTGGGATGGCCTTCAGGGTCAACCGTTTTCCTACACGGAAAGATTAGAACCCGAGTGGTTCGTGTGCTACACCAGACTCAGTCGTGTGCAAGAAAAAAATGAAAGAAAAATTAGTTTGCACCAGAATGAATCGTGTGCGCACACGACTCAGTCGGGTTTCACACAGTAATCACTCGGGTACAGCACCAGAATCCGTGCACAGTAATCAGTCTGGTGCCGCACACGAGTCATTCGTGTGTGTACATGAATGACTCGTGTGCGCACATGAATAACGTTTTTTCTGTCCAATTCAAGATTAAACGCAAAGAAAACTATATTAGATAAATAATTTTAAAATAATTAAACAGAATAATCGAATATTTTAATTATCAAACAAAAAATAGATATTCAAGAAAATTTTAATAATTCCAGTTTCATAATAAAATTTAAGAGATGGTTTTAAATTTCATATGAATAAAAATGCACTTTGCAACTGTAAAATTTACTTTTTCCATATCTAATAAATTTATTGCGAAAAATATAAAAAAATATGCTGCACAGTAATACTTGCAAATTTTTGTGATCTCGAAAGATATAACGAATTACACTTACTACTATGAATGGTATCAAACTTTCAATTTTAATGAGAGTGGTCTAATTGATGCATCTAACAAAAATCTTTTAACCATTGAGGAGCTTGAATTCTGCTCAGTATCGCGAATTACTGAAAACGAAAAGGGTAAATTCATTCCTAAACGTTAGGTGTAAATGTTTTATTTTCATTTTAATTAAATAAACTAAAATGTATTTTAATAAAAACGAATTTATTAAGTATAATTGCTCTTTTAATTTTATATTTTAATACGTATTCAACCTTAAGACACAAATGGTTTAATAGAACAATAAAATTATTCTTATATGCGATAAAGAGGTATGGAAAAATTAAAGTTTTTAGAATGAAAACAGGTCACTCGAAAAAAAAATTTGCAAGTATTAATTTGCAGCATATTTTTTTATATTTATCGCAATAAATTTATTAGATATGGAAAAAGTAAATTTTACAGTTGCAAAGTGCATTTTTATTCATATGAAATTTAAAACCATCTCTTAAATTTTATTATGAAACTGGAATTATTAAAATTTTCTTGAATATCTATTTTTTGTTTGATAATTAAAATATTCGATTATTCTGTTTAATTATTTTAAAATTATTTATCTAATATAGTTTTCTTTGCGTTTAATCTTGAATTGGACAGAAAAAACGTTATTCATGTGCGCACACGAGTCATTCATGTACACACACGAATGACTCGTGTGCGGCACCAGACTGATTACTGTGCACGGATTCTGGTGCTGTACCCGAGTGATTACTGTGTGAAACCCGACTGAGTCGTGTGCGCACACGATTCATTCTGGTGCAAACTAATTTTTCTTTCATTTTTTTCTTGCACACGACTGAGTCTGGTGCAGCACCCGAACCACTCGGGTTCTAATCTTTCCGTGTAGGAAAACTTATGAAATTGCACTTATGACGTTTTAGAGCTCTTCGAGCTCATAAATACAATTTGTGTATGCTTTTAAACTCTTCGAGCTCAAAAGTTTGATGGAAGTTTGATAAAACACTATTTTTTTAATTTTCAAATCGCAATAACTTTTGAATGGATCAACCGATTTTCACGCGGTTGGCGGCATTCGACGCAGTTTTATCATTCTCATAAATTATTTTCAGGTTTTAATTGATCGAACCAAAAACTTAAGAGTAATTCCGAAAAAATACTTTTTTCGGTTTTCTTTCGTTCACGATAACTCACGAACGAATCACCCGATTTTGACCGGACTGGCGGCGATTGACGTGGTTTTTTGACGTTAAGAGCTGATTAGTTTTTGGAATTGATCGGTAAAACCGTTTAAAAGTTATTCCAAAAAAATCCTATTTAAAAAAATTTTTTTTTTATAATATAAATTATCATGAATATTTTCTAAGAACTTAAAAAATTAATTTCTCTATTGTTGAGCTATTAGAGACACTATCCGTAACTATTTACTCAGTCACCTAATAAAACCCACCGAGTAATAAACACCACCGTCCATCTTACGGTAGAAAGCATTATATCTTCAATTATATCAGTATAAACGCTGCAAAATTGCAGTATATCTTCGGTATTTTTACCGTAGAAATACGATTTTATTATTATAAAATTATAGGAATATTATAGTTAATATGTAGATTTTTTACGGTAAAAGTTCTAGAGTTTTACGCTAATTTTATCGTGTATTATTTCTGAACTTTGCAGTAAAAGTACGGTAGAAATGCTGTCTAACTATAGTAAAAAAAAAACTGGTCAAAATGACCACAAAAATACCTTATTATTTCAAAATTGTAACAGTAAATTTATGGTAAACGCATTAATACCAAAAATATACAATTATAGATAACAATTATTATCAAATTTAACAAAACTATCCGGTACTGAGAGACCTCTCTTCAAAGCTAATTGTCGTGCTCTTCCAATGATATCTACTGACGAGGTCGGATTACGAGTATATATGTCGATACTTTGTACACTAAAAAAAAATAATATAATAATATTAATAATATGGTAGTGGTAAATTCTTACAATTATAATATAACGTACTGGTTTGAACCTTGATTTCTGCAAAACAAATATATCCCATAACTGTGGGGTATAACTTCGAGAGCCCAGTAATGAAGAACATGGTTACCAATAAGTGGAATATGGGTAACAATATTAAGCTCGTTTCCTGGTAACCTTTTAGAGACTTCGCTTTCAAATGCCAAAATGTTACCGGTACTTTGTTTAAAAAATTGAAACAAAAAAAAATACATTATTTAACCTTGAGAATTTTTAATTACTTGGCAGTAACTTAAAAAAAGTATGGAGCATTTTAATAATTACGATTTTGAAATTGAGGTAGTAAACAATGTTGCTATGTTATTCTCCAGTGTGAATACATCACTGTTCGTACATCCAAGAGTACCGTTATACTGGTCGTAGGTATTAGCATACTCGTACCATTTTCCGGCCATCTGAAGAAATAAATATAGAGGTTTTAATAGTGAAAAAAAAGTAATAAAAAAATTGAAAAATCCAAAAATTCCACGACTTATAATGCTTATTTAATGATAAAATGTAAAATGTAAAACAGTATTATGGTTTTTTTAATTTTATTACTTGTAATTAAACGACGATGATTTACGCAGCCATTATCAATAGGCGCGGCCTGCAATTTTTTCAAAGAATTAAATAAAAAAAAAAAATTTGACTTTAATTAATGGATTTTTTGGCAAGCTACAGTGTTTACAAGTTTCATTCTTGGATGGGAAAATTTTTTAAACTATTTTGATGGTTTTTTCCGTTACTATTGCACTAAATAAATTTTTGAAATAAGTATGGAATTAATCTTTACTTAATAATCTTGACAATAGTATGCAAAATATTTTGATTTTGTGAACTAGGTATAACAAGGGTATAATAATAAAAACACTTGCTGAAATGAGGCGAAAAAAATTTTTCGATCGTAAAGCACTCTCTAATGCTTTTGCATCATAAGTCGTGCTATATAAACGCAATTAAGCAAAACAATACAAACCCTGTTGAAGTCAATTGAGGCTCCATCAAAATTAGGACACGGACCCGGTTGCACAGTTACTGTGGAAGATCCGGCGATCAACACAGACACGATAACAATAACCAACATTTTCCAAAAAGAAAATTTTTTTGGTAAAATACTCTCTTCATTAATGCCTCTGAATATTTATACCGATTTATTATTGTATAATTTGTTTATTTTAGATAACAAAAAGACAAAAATAATTTTGACTGGCTGTTTTTAATATCAGGTGAATAAAGTCTGGTATACGCACCCACTTTAATAATTTTTTTATCAAAAATGAATTGAGCAATTTTAATAGTTAATTTCACAATTATTCATCAGAGTATATGAATATTTAATCTCTTTCGATCAATATATTTTATTCTGTTTTTATTTAAAAATGCCGCAAAGATTCGATATTTATACAATATAAATGCTGTGTATGTTTACCGTAATACTTCAGTTATTTTAGCTAGTTTATTTTTTTGCCGAATTATTACGAAAAAATTACAAAATAAATTCAGAATGTTTACGGCAATAGAATAGGAAAATTACGGTCTATTAACAGCATTTAAATCGTAAATGTACCGTATATTTACTGTATATATGCGGCACTATTGCAGTAAAAGCTCGAAAGATAATCCCTACTTTCTGTTACCGGTAAAATACCAAAAATATGCTGCTCTACTACTATTTTAGCTTAAAATTTTATTTATAATATTAATTATCATGAATAACTTTTAAGAGGTTAATAAATTAATTTCTCTATTATTATTAATATCATTTTTTTTAGTCCAGACCGAGCTTCGAACCCGGATCATTTAATTAGTTGCACGCCTAAGGCTCTACCACTTGAGCTATCAGAGACACTATCTGCAACTACTTACTCAGTCATCTAATAAGACCCACCGAGTAATAAACATTGTCCATCTTACGGTAGAAAGCATTATATCTTTAATTATATCAGTATAAACGCGGCAAAATTACAGTATATCTTCGGTATTTTTACCGTAGAAATACGATTTTATTATTGTAAAATTATAGTAATATTATAGTTAATACATAGATTTTTTACGGTAAAAGTTCTAGAGTTTTACGATAATTTTATCGTGTATTATTTCTGAACTTTGCAGCAAAAGTATGGTAGAAATGCTGTCTAACTATAATAAAAAAAACTGGCCAAAATAACCACAGAAATACCGTATTATTTCAGAATTATAACGATAAATTTATGGTAAATGTATTAATAATACATAATTCAAAAATATGCTATAATCAGTTATAGCTGATTTGGAAAATATTTTAGTAACAAATTAGTTTTGTTATTGCAACAAAATCATTTTGTAACAGCAACAAAGTGATTTCGTTAGTATACAATTTGAAATATTTTGTTAATGCAAGTAATGGATTTATTGCTATAATTACACTCATTTGTTATTACCAAAACAAATTTTTCAATTATCCCATCTTTTGTTATTTCAACAAAATCGTTTTATGCGTGTGTCTATAATCGTAGAATAACATCAACTATATCGTTAGCATCACAAATCATTTTTCGATAATTTCTGTGATCGAGCTTTATTAACTATTACGGCTATAGAACTTTTACTTTTAATATCGATAATTACCATCATTCTTAGCCAATTGTTTATCCATGGAATTTATTAATAAATTTCGAATGATTTGGGGTTTTACATATCTCAATTGTCATTGTAATTTTTGCTTCTGAGCACGTAATTAATAACATAAAGTTAAATCATGACCAGTCGTATTATGTGTCCCTAATGAAAAAATTTTAATGTAGGTTTTTAAAATAATCACATGACCGTGAAATTTAAATTTTATTTTACAATATGGTTAATAATAATTCGGATAACAACGAAAATAAATATTTTTATGTATTTAAAACTGTCACTGAAAATTAAGGAACAAGTAATATTGAAGTTTTTTGGTAGGGATTCGCGTAAATATTAATTTTAATACACCAGCTCAGAAGTGATCGACTCTTTACAAATAATCTGAGTTGATGATACAGTTGATGTCCTCTAAGAAAATCATAGTTGGTTTCATAATTTAGTAACTTTCGTCTCCTCCGATGATATTGTTGACGAGTTACTAAATTGGCGACTTAATTGTCGAATCAATTGTTCAGAATCATCATCATCTACATCAGCTTCAGTTTTACATTTTTTGGAATTTGATGATTCCATCGATTATCTGAATCAATATTGATGTCCGTCTTGATAGATTTCTTCTTTAAATTTGATGATGAAGATGATAATAATAATGAGTTACAATTTTCTTGTTTTTTCAACTGTCTGATTGTTTTGGTCTTAAATTCATTTCGATCAGTCTTCCAAGTGAAATACAAACTTGTGTGAAATTTCTTAATTTCATTTTTTTTTTTTTTTTAGATTGAAATGTTGACATAGATTTGAAAAAAGGACTTTCTGGTGTGCAGGGTTGTCACCAACATCTTCAATATTTTTAGCATATAATAATATTTCCGTGTAAGTTTTAGTGATATCAAATTTCATTTTTATAATTTTTTCAGTTTTTGCTTTTTAATAGAGAAAAAGTTATATGAAGAATCCTATAAAAAACAATATGTCAAAAAAATTTTAAGTCATATATTTTAATAATAAAAGAAATAGTTGGTATTTGCAATAATATTTTCATTACCTTTGAGGAAATAATTGTTAATAATTATGAAGTAATCAATGAAAATATTATAAAAACAGTTTTTACTTTAAGAGATGTTAAAATAAGATACATTAATAATATCAGGTATTTCAAAATTGAGTATTCGCAACGGCAACGAAGCTGTTATGGTCAGAACATAAGCGCCTCTAGTGAGCAATGAAAGAAGCATTTTTAAATAAAAAAAAAAAGCGGGCAAAATATGAAACGTACAAACTTGCATAAAATGTTATTGATACATTATTAGAAAATGGATGTATATTTCTAGTAAAATGGATATATACATCCAGTAAAATAAATATATATTAAAATAAAAAATTGTCTGATAAGAAAAGAATTGATAACTTGGTAGGAAATTAAAAAAAATTTTAATCTGAATAAATGCAGATGTAGATTATAATATAATGAAGACCTGCATTTTTTTTTTTATTTTTATGCTGTCTTTTTTTTTTTAATTGTTACAATTCGATATATATAATAACAATAATAACAATTTTTAAATAAAAAATAAATGCAGGTTTAAATTGGTGCAAAAGAGATGCAAATATTTCATTTTGAATTTCTTTACTAGAAAATCTTGATTTGAGCACTCGTCAAAATTTTATTTTTTAAATTTTTATTAAAAAAAAATTTTTTTCTAAATACAAATAAATGCAGTTGTAAATATCTAAATTTTGAATAATTGATATTAACTATTAATAATTAACTATTAATTAAAAACTTAATTTTAATTAATAAAATATTATACTTACTTAATTATTATAAGTTTTGAATGATGGAAAACAAAAGATACAGAAGATACAGAAGAGCGCTAGTGTATGTTTCTGAAATCAGATGGAAATACCGTTAGCTATTTTGCCATCAAATAAAAATGAATTTTTGTGTGTATTCTGTAAATGAGGATATTATTGTCCCGTAATAAAACCCAATATAAGTTTTTCCAGTTTTCCCCACACGACTGACAGAGATAAGTGCATGCATATCTCGTTGCTTTCTTTAAATAAATGCGGTGTCTGTCAGAATAAAAAAAAACCTCTATATATATATATATATATATATATTTAACGCATGAGAGTATTCGATCCTGAAACGCCAAATCATTTGAGTATACGACATCACACAACATGGCTGAACGGAGAAAAAATAAAAAGCGTAAAGAAGTAAGCATATTGTTTATTTTTGATTAATTATTTAAATTATTGAATGATTATTACCATTAACTTGTCATTGATTAATATTATTTTTATCCTATTAAAATGAGTGAAATAATCAATCAATATGTTATTTAGGCTATGTGAATTCTAACGGTGAATTTTATGGAGTGCGTTACAGAAATTCAATAAATGACGTAGTCTTATTTAGGACCTTTAATATTTTCCGTACAACTATTGATTTTTTTTTTAATGTGTGTACATAGTTATTTAAACAATAGCGTGTTTTAATATTTAATGTATGTTTGGTGTTAATTATTTATATAACCATTTATTTATATATGTGATATTTACAGAACCGACTGGGAACACCAGAGATAGATAAACCATCAAAAGAAGCGTATGCTGTCGCTAAATGGATCCGGGAAAATGTACCATCGAAGAAGACTAAGTTCATGAGCCACAATGTTGAATATTTTACGGGATCGCGGGCCGTGGGTGCTCTGTTGGAAAATTCGCCGTGGAAAGAAACGTTATTTGAGACTAGGGAGCAAGTAGTTGAATATTTGGACTATATGTTAGCACACAAATTTTTCCATCGAGCCAAGAAAATAGTCGTTACTGAGGAAGAACTGATAAAGTTACGCGGAATGAAGAAAAAGGGTAAAGACTGCTGTCATAAAGAAGATAAAAAAATTATAGAGGAGAAAAAAGATAAAGAAAAAGAAAAGGAGCGCGAAAAAGATAAAGAGAGCACTGAAAATGAGGCTAAAGAAAAAGAAGATGATAATAAAGATAAAGAGCCGAAAAAAAAACCTAAAGTTCGTTTAGAAATGCACATGGAGCAGTATTTTTCGGATTGCAATGATGCTTATGTATGGATTTATGAACCTATTCCCATTTACTACTGGTTCTTCGGTGCTCTCGTAGTACTTGGGGCTATTGGTGTTTGCTTGTTTCCATTATGGCCCCTGACTATTCGTCATGGTGTTTATTATCTTAGTGTGGCTGCTGCCGGATTTTTTGTATTTATTTTAGCTTTAGCTCTTATTAGAGTCGTTGTCTTTTGTCTTATTTGGGTTATTACTATTGGAAGACATCACTTTTGGTTATTTCCTAATCTCGCTGAAGACGTTGGTTTCTTTGCTTCCTTCTGGCCACTGTATCAGGTAATTATATTTCATATTTAATTGCTCATTAAAACTGACAATAACTTGACTCGATTTTATTTTTTATTTATTATCACTTTAATGGATTTTATAATTAAACACAAAAGTTTTAAATTAAATATAAAATAAAACCTATATTTTCAGTATGACTATTACGGACCAGGATATGAAAATGAGAAGAAAAATAAGAAAAAGAAACGCAGAAAAGACAAAGACTCAGATTGTGAAGATACTTGTTTAATTCAAGGGTAAATATATTTTAACAATTATTTAACTTAATTACTCTTGTAATGAATATTTTATTTTAATATTTATCTAATGATTAAAAATATTTACTGTGTTATTTTAGAGATGAAGATAAATCTCAACTTCCTGAGGAAGATAAAAAAGAACCAGAGGAAGATAAACAAGTCGAGGCTACAAACGACGGGGAAATTAGCGGTGAAGAGGGCTCCGAAAGTGAAAAATCGAATATAGATAAAGATTTTGAGATGATTCAACATCCAGAATTAGAAGATAAATAGACGATATAAATAAATAAATATATAATAGTTTAATTAATACGACTGCGCATAATAGTAGCTGAGTTTTGGTATCAATGGTAAGCAAAAAATTTAATGCGATAAGAAAAACATTGATGTGTTATGAGTGTATGAACGACGGGTAATTTGCTAATTCAACTTTTTCTGGTGTCTTTTATTAATGCATTTAAAGTAATAACTTGATTTTTTACTAATGAATATGATAAATTTATTAAAATTAACGTACACACAAATTGTCAATTTTTGCTATAATTCTATATATATTTAAAAAATATTTATATATATATATATGACAGATTATTAATGAAATGAAATAATTTATAAGAGAATCTTGTACAAATCGCAAATAATTGTTGACGCTAATTAATGATGCTATAAATTCCCTTATTTACGCCTCAGGAAGAGTAAATAAAGAGATTCCATTAAATTTTTGAATTTTGGGTAGGTGCATTAGAATCGTTAATGAACAATAGATTTATTATTTATATTTTTATGTAACAAGTCCAATGATAATTATTAACTGTATTAATTTAATAATACATGGAATCATGTAATAATAATTATAATAAAATTTTAAGTAATTCGTAAAGCTGATGATTTTTTGGAGTAACCTTTAAACATCCGTTCTTTGAGCTAAATAAAAACTTTTCGACGTTACATAATTTTCTGTTCGAAGATTTTTATTTAAAGATTTTTGATTTTTCTAGGACAGGCCTTTTATAATCGGGCTATTTAAAAACCATGTCTAGAAAGGATTGAACAGCTGTTTTTGACTGTTTTCTTGTCAGAATAATTTCTAAATTGCAGGGAGCCACCAGCTGTCAAAAACATATGTACCTTCGAGGGGGTAGCTTAGAATAGAATAGAATAGAATTAATTTTCATTCTTTGCATGGATTTAAAAGGAAAATTTTTATTTTACAACTGCACAGACTTTGAAGTTATTTCTTTGAGCATTGCGTTACACATAGCAGCGTAAGGATTCAAATCAACTAACTGACTACGAGCAAACGCCGAGCCATTCTTGGCCGCGATTTCAAAGTCTCTTTTAGCTTCATCTTTACGACCTTCGAGACGATGAAGTAACCCACGCTGACACAGCGCCTTCGTGCCGGCTTTCCCTCTGCCAGAGCTCAGTGTCACAGCTTGATCCAAGTCTTTCAAAGCCTCTAGAACATTTAATACACTCATGTAGCTTTTAATTGAATATTATTCATTGTAACATTATTTTTTTTTTTTTTTTTTTTTTTTTTAATAAATACCGCCAACTCGCCCAGCAAGACGGAGCGCTTGAGCTCGGTCGTTTAAAATCGACGGGCGATCGGGAGCTTTTGTAATCGCTTCATCGAAAAGTAAAAGAGCTTTATCTAGTTCTCCAGATTCCGCTGTCTCGATTGCTCGTTTTACCAAGTTCACTATCTCGGGATCTTGTATTTTATCTGATTTAAATGTTTAACATGATTAATGATAACTTATAGTGATACCAACTAATTTTATGTAAATGTATCGGAAGTTTAATTCCTTTTAGAATGAGTACTAACAAGACATTTATTTAAAAAAAAAAATTAACTTGATTAAAAATAAAATTATTAAATCAAGAAAATCATTTTAAAGAGTTGGTAATCGGAAAAAATAGACGCGGAAAAAATTTTAAAGTTATGAAAAATTCATATTATTTCATTAAAATTATTATAAAATAATAATTATAATATCCCCCCACAATTTTCCTGAAAAACAAGCACGCCCAGAATGATCGCTCCATTTTTTGTAAAAAAAAAAATATATTATTATTATTATTATTATTATTATATAATTTTAATGAAATAATGTAAATTTTTTTCGGGATTCTAATAAAGAGTTTTATTGTTTTAAATCAAGATGAAAAATTTTTGAATTGAAAAATTAAGTAAATTTTATTTGGTTCAATAATTTTTCTCCTACATCAAGTTCATTTTTTTTTGTATAGTAGAATAAAAAATAAAAATAAAATTTGCCTCAAAAGTTTATCCTTGAAAAAATCGCAGCTTTAAGAATATTTTTTTAAATAAACCGAGTGAAGATTAAAATTACACAGAAAATTTTATAAAAAATTATCAAGTTCTTAAAAATCAAAATTAATTTTGACTTTAAATCTAAGAGATCAAATCTAAAAATTCTTCATTCAGTATACTTAAAACTCTCCATATGTTTATCGTTAAAATCAATGAAAATGAATACATGATCTTATCTTCCATTTAAAAGGGCATTAAATTTTCAATTAAGAACACCAAAACAAAAATGAACAACTAATTACAACAAAGAATCGTGAAAACGTACCAGTTATTTCGTCTTCCGGTTCGTCAGAATTTTGACCGGATGACATGAGCTGAAGCGGATCAAAGATTATGTCCAAAATACTTTTGTCGTGTTCGCTCAACTGCTCCATGACACTTTCTATTCACAATTAAATAGTTACCAACAATATCTATCTGCTATAAGCAAGTTGTTATTCTCGCTGGTAATAAAAGTATAAGCAAGATTTAATTTGAATTAATTCAGCATTTAAACAAGCAGCGTATTGCGTCATGGAAAAATAATCCTGAATCTTCTGTGCCTGTGGTTTGACCAGTATTTAAATTTACCCAGAGGAACCCATCAACTTGGTTTTATCATTATCCATTTTATTGATTTAAAAATATCTGCAATTATTATAATAACAATTATTATTACCATATAGTATATAAATATAGTACAATAAAAAATAAAAAATAATACAGTAAGATTAATTTAATGATACAATAGATATTAATACACGTATAAAATGATTTAGAGAAACGTCTGAGATAATCTAGGCTTCGTAGCTGATACATCTGGGGAACAATCCGGGTACCCTTGGATGGATAAAACTCGGGTTGTGTTCATCCTCCTGTTAAGTCTCGAAAGCAACGTTAACGGGCCATAATTCATCCGCGACGTATAATAAATATTATGTGAGGGGAAAGACCCGTCGGCCCTCGCCTGGTTTATGGAGAGAAAGACTACTACCACCACATTACAGGGTGGAGGAGGATGAGGAGAAACGGGAGGCGGGTGGGTAGCCAGAGAATGCATCTACCAACCTGACCAGCATTTTCACGTGGTATGTACGCACAAAAGCCTGCAAAAGCCGTTGGCTGGTTGTGGCTACTCACCGAGTAGAGGAGACTTAACTTAAACTCTCGTTCTCTATACTCATGTGTGTATAAACGTCAAGAACGTTGCCCGGTTAGTCTGGTTCCTCGATACCCTGTCGTGGTGCACGCGGCTCGCGGCTCGCGGCTCGTGGCTACAGGGCCTCTGACTCCGACTCCGAAATAAGAGATGCCGAATGGAAAAAAATAAATAAAATAGTCCAGCACAGCCTCATACTCATACTCACTACCACACCAGACGTGGTTTGTGGTCGACAACTTTTGTTTCCACCACGACAAACCTTTCTTTATTCTTTTTCATCATTTTTTTTTTTTTTTTTTTATTTCTTCTCATACTTATATGTCGATTCATTATTTTCAGGGTTGTTTAAAAACCAAAGCCGGCCCGATGCGATACCAGTATCTCTACTCGGTACTGTAAATTAAAATGCTACCTGTACCTGCTGGAGAACAAAGAACTCTTGATTAACGAGAAAACACTTTCGTCATTAAAATACTTGAGAAATAAATTAAATAACTTACACATACGTAATAATAATAATAATCATGATAAGTAATGACAATTATTTCATTTTGTAATAACAATTTACTATTTTCCTCATTAATTTCGCTAGATGACACTCATTTTCTCATTTAATTCCCTTTCCCGACTGTGGGACCGGTTTGATACTACCTAAGACAGCGGCTGCGGCGGCGGCGATGTCATTCCCTGGGCGTTGGAGCTTCCTCATGGACACCGTTACATCCGGAGTCGTTGCTCGGACATCCACTACTTCACGGTCTTTACGAATTCCTCTATACAACTATAAATAGCCATAGTAATTTTAGTTATCAATATAAATAGCCATTTATCTTTTTTCTTTTTTTTTAATTTTTTTTTTAATTAACTTTTGACAAATTATCTAATACCTTTCTTCTTATCTCTAATAAACTTGTACGATTTATCTGAAATAACTTAAAAAACCCTAGTCCCAACCAGTTATAGGTTCTCGCAGCCTTTTAGGGTTCCTGGAACTTTCCAAAGTTATTTATCATCATTCTTTCCCTCTCATACTCATGTCTTACACGATATATACCAATACATATCGTTTTATTCTCTTAAACTTATTTTATTCTTTGTATCCTCTTCCCGCGGCTGTTCTCTCGTCCGTGATCCGTGATGTCTTGTAAATGTATACATATATACTTTTATATATATATATATTGCATTTAACTTGGCATTCTGAGCTGGTATCGAGTCAGACAGCGAGGAAGGATCTTTGCCAAACTCGCGTGTGCTACCAGGACTTGCAATACCTACAGCCTACAAGTAACATTACATTAACTCGAGTTGAGTTATAAGATTGTACCTGGATGTGGTCCCAGGAGAAAGCGTTCAGCCCACGCGTACCTGGAACACGTGATACATATAGATATAATACACAACAGAACAATGCATTCTAATCTACATCCTTTTTATGGCATAACTTATCAATGATTCATTCAATATTAACTATTGATTAAAATTATTATAAAATTATCTTGCGAGTATATTAATTTAATATTTAATAAATAAAAAATTAAAAATACATACCTGTTAGTATTTATTTAGACGATGATGTTTGTTTTTATTTTTAGGGGGTTATTGTACACGTTAGGTGGGAGATGCAAATTATATGTAAATTACTAGCTGGTCCGGGCGAATAGGACCCGGTTGATGATATTCCTTTCTCTCTTATTCTCTCTGCACCTCTTGAACTTCACCATCAGCAGCAGCAGCAGCAGCAGCAGCACGAGCACCAGAAAATATCCACCACCTATCCTACTCCATCTCTTCCTCCACCTCTACTTCATGCATACTCCTGTACACCTATTCTCGGGCTCACCATCACCAACGTCCAATCTTTACTCCTCCAGGCCGTAACGGATAAGCTTCGTACCAAGCGTAGTTCCTCGAGAGCAAGTGAGAGACATGCTCTTCAGTATTCCCTTGATACTCTTGACGCGAGGTAGAATTTGATAGTCAATGTCATTACTCTCAGCCTTTTAATCCATCCGCATTAAATCTGAAATTAGTGATTTTTTTTTTTTTTATTATTTAAATAAAAATGTAAAAACAATTTATTAAATTAAACAATACAAAATGCGATTTAAAAAACGAAGATCATCAAAGTGTCGGTGATATTTGTATAATATTTTTGTTAATTATTATAATTAGTGGTTGAAGAAATTATAAGTTAACAAACCATGAGAGTGAGTCCGATAATACTCTCAGCAGCGGCTCGACTAGCTTGGCTAGACGGTCGTATGACCCATGAGGATATTATCGCATCGGCATTAGTATCATCACCATCCTCGTTGTCAACAACAACAACAACAACAACAACAACAACAACAACAACAAGAACAAGAACAGCAGCCAGAGAAAGTATTTCTTTTGAAGCGATGATGATAACCGCTGCTGTTGCTGGTGTCTCAACAGGAACAACGACAACTGGTCCAGAATTATCCACTGAATTTTTCCTCATACCAGATTCACACCACCCGGATAAAAATAATTTAGCAAGTGTAGCTAGTGTGATAAGCGTACCGGCGCCAAATCAAACTATATCTATCTATCCACCACCACGATTTCCTATCGACGATACACGAATACCAGGGTATCCAGTAGTAACACCCCATCAGACGATACTGCGTCAGCGAACCTGGGCATTACCACTAGCCGCTTTAAGTGCCGCTGCGATGCTGCTTATGGTTGCCTTCGAGATCTTCGTACTCCTCAAGGTCTTACATATTTTTCTTTAATCCTGTTTGGTTTTAAAATGTGGTTGGTACGCACACCTACCTGAAACAGATTAAAACGTCAATCTTTTACTCATATATGTATCTAATAATCATATAATGTATCAACGTTACCGTTATTTACTAGCGCGAGTAGAGAAAATTAATAGAGCTTATACCGTAATGTTTTCGTTAAAACTCTCATCGAAGCTCCACTCCAGAAACTTGTTTTTAATTCAATCAAAACCTACCGACTACTTTGCATGCTTTACGCTTTAATTCATTTAAGTAAATCCAACTAACCGTACCCGTAATTTTAATTATTATTATCAATCATCCATTGACTAAATCTGAAAATAAATAATTATAATTATTAAATCTAGGCAAGAGCAGCCGCACCTAGTAGACGACATCTATTTCTTGGACAAGCACTTCTTCTAGGACTATTTTTACTGGCTGGACTATCAGCGGCAGCATCACTAGCACCTAATCCACTTTCGTGTGCGGCATTTAGACTAGTTGGGCTACCAGCGGCTCTGGTATTTGCCGCGCTTCTTGTCAAGTGTGTCTTTCTGCTTTCCCTCAACAGCGGTGTCTATCTTCCAGCGCCGTATCAGGTGAGTAAAATTGATTAATCCCGTCAATAGTGAAACTGGTGTAACATCTTTCATCTTTCATCTTTCATTAGTCTCGAGACTAATCTTTGTTACTCAGATCTATCGGGCGATGTGTCATGTATTGGTATTACCTGTGTAATCTTTGTTTAATGTTAATTATGCTTCATCAATCATAGGCGCTCGTTCTTATATTTGCTGTGCTCGTTCAAGTGGCAATTGTGGGCCAGTGGTTTTACGGAGAAACACCGGCTGTTATTCGGCCTCGAATTATTGAAGCCAATACTCCATTCATTCAGCAACATACACTTTGCAAAACACCTCTTGGACAAACTGTTGCTTCATTAGGGTAAGTTTCTTCTTTTCTCATGTAAATATACAACTATTATATTGTATATTGTTTTTTTTTTTTTTAATTTTTTCATTTATTTGGTGGAAAAAAAATAATGACTTCTGATGTAAAAAGAAGCTGAAAAGAAATTAACGAATTTTTAGTAAATTGAAAGAACCAAATAACGGTAAAAGATTATTTTTTGAAGAAAACTTACTCTTAAACAGAATTATATCCAAAATTTTTTAATGTTTGATAAGAAATTTTAAATAAAAACCACGTTAAGTTTTTTTGAAATTATTTTCTCACCGACTATTTTCTACAGCGTTTAAATAACTCTATAAAAGTTGTCATAAAATATTTGCACACCTCAGACGCGAGGTCTTAAATGTGATTTATTATCATTTAGATGCTTTATCTCGACTTGTTTTCATTATTAAACCATCTTTATAATTTTAATGCCATCTTAAGTTATGTTCAAACATACTTTTAAAGACTAGATATTCTGGTATAAGATAATAACAGGTACGGATTTTTGTTTATTTGCCATCGAGATAAACTTTGTTATGAGGGTAAATGTTCCAAATATTGACCAGTTAAGATAAAATGAACGTAAATACATTGTTTGTAAATTTATTGGAAGAGCTTATGAGTTGAAATGAGTGTTTGCTTTTTTTTTTATAGTTTTAACTTACAAACTATAGTACTTTTGTTTACAAAATACCTAATAATAAACATTAAATTGTAATAATTAACGTTTCAGCCGGTTGCTCCGAATATTGACCATCACGCACTAAGTATTGACCACCTATGTTCCAAATACTGACCAGTAGTATTATGCTCACTAGACTTATATGACTTTTTTTTTTAATCTATAATAGTTTCAACATTAGGTAATTTATTCACTGACGTATCCATAATTTCAGTACATATTGTTTTTAGTTGTTCTGTATTTTGACACAATATTATTTTCAGTACGTATATTGAAATCAATGGTCGAAGCCATACTAATATTAAGTACATATTAGATAATTCACAACACCAATTGTTGACCCGAGTGTTAATTCAATTATTAACATGATTTTTTTAATAAAAATTATAGATAACTAATTATCGAGATAAAATTTTATTCTATATAAATATATGTCTACATATTTCATGTTTACAGATATACTGGCAATGATAATTTTATCCTGGATAAAATTTTATCTCGGATTGAAAAACTGGCCCTTCTTCATTGATTATAAAGTATTAATAAACGTACTTACTAAACACGGCGAAGTTAAGTTATAATGACTAACTTTCACAGCTTTCTGAAATTTGTACACAACATTTTTTTTTCTTTTTATTATAAATTATTATTAAATTGTTATATTACTCGGTCAATATTTGTTTCCTTTACCCTAGTTAAAATTTTTTTATATAAAAGATTCTATTCATCTTCAAAATCAATCATATTGATCTTCACCGATAAACATTAATTAATGGAATTAATAAGTTTTTATAGTTTCTTAAAAATTATTCTATCAGAATTATTTGTGTTGAAAACGAGTAGTTTTACATTAAGATAATAAGTATCTGCATGTAAATGGATTCCTTTTTGATTGATATCTTCAAGTTTTTAGTGAATAACAAATTAACCAATATTGTATTGTAATTTTTAAAGTTAAGGTAAATATTTACAAGTGGGGTCAACCATTTTAATTTTAATTTTTTTGAACGAAATTTTTATTTGATTTTTATTGATATATTTTTTTTTGAAAAATACATAAAAAATGGACAATTAAAAAAAAAAAAAAAAATTGATTATCACAATTTTAACAAATTTTCAAAAAGATTTATAAATTTTTTAGAAAATTGTGATATTCAACTTTTTTTTTTTTTCATTGTTCGTTTTTTTATGTACTTTTCAAAAAAAAATTTATCAAAATAACATACAATAGTAATTTTATCCAAAAACATAAGAGCCAACATTTTTTCTAACTTTTGAAGGCAAAAAAGCTATCGAAATCTTTATTTTTTCTTTCACGAAATTTTTTATCATAAATTTGCCTTAAAAACAAGCAGAATCAAAAAACAAAAATTTGAAAATGTTAATTTTTCACCTAGTTATGGCTCAAAATAAGGTTGACCTCACTTGTAAATAATTACCTAAGTCAACTAGTAATAAGTACGGTTTTATTTCTTCCGAGTTTTTTGATCAACCTCATCTTCATTGTGTACACAGAAAAAAAAATTGTTTTGAATAAAGAGAAAAATTCTTGAACCAAGAAAATAATTTTGAAAAGTTTCATTGTTTTGAATTAATACGAAAAATTCTTGAATCAAGTAAAATTTACTTAAACCAAGAAAAATTTTCTTAGCTTAAGAATTTTTCTACTCAAATTAAGAAGATGAAGTTCTTCAAAATTATTTATTTGATTCAAGTAAATTTTTTTTTCTATGTACTTTTTAACCAAAATAGAATGATAAATCATCAAAATTTTCTCTTCATAAACTAAAATAAGCGACTGAGGAGTGCATTTAAACTACAGAAAATTTTTTCAGAGTTATCAAAACTTCTCCCATGATAAACTTGCATAAAAATTCAGCCGTATTTGAAACAAACAAACGATAAATCTAAAACAGAAAAAAAAAAAACATTATACATAACTTTACAGAATGAATGAATAAATGTATATTAATTTCTATTGTATAATTTTATCCAGTTATCCAGGCATATTACTTATCGCCGTGACTTGTCTAGCAATACGTGCTCGTGGAGTACGTGATAATTACCGTGAAGCAGCTTTCATCGGTCTAGCAGTAGGACTGACACTTCCTATTTGGCTGACAAGTGCAATAGGTTCCACGGTTGCCGTTGAGAATGATCGTGAGGCCTGGCTAGCTTACGGGTTACTCTCAACGGCACTTATTGTTTTTCTTACCATGTTCTTGCCAAAAGGACGACAATTAGCCGCGCTGGGCCGTGAAGGACCTGGTGGGATTCCCAGCGGGGTTGCTGGCGGTACAACTGTTGTTATTCGTGATCATGACGATGATCGATTGAGTTCGTTACCCGGCAGTGGATACTCGCCCTCCTTTTTCCATTTCAAACCTGCTGAGGCCAGTCTGAAAAGGAAGATGCATTATCAGAGCGCAGGTTTGTTATTTTTTTTTTTCCTTATTTTTCTTTTTTGACTCAACCTTGTTTTTTGTCCAAGTACTTACATTGAGTTTGTGTTTATGTTTTTATATTTACTAAACCGACAAAAAACTTACTAACAATCACTTGACCACAGATCGTGTGGCATTGGTATCCTCGGGAATGCCCGGCTGCAGTGCGTGCAGACACGGAAGCAGTCCTGTTTACTCAGAAGGTGGGTGAAGGTTTTTTTTCAGTGCAATCGACCTTGAGTGTTTTTATATAACATCTTCTTGTTTTTATTTTTATTCTTCTTTTCTTCTTCTGTTGAATTATTTACAATAACAATGAGCAGCTATGTTTCATGATACTGAAATCAAAGATATATTAGACAATTTTTTTTTGTTTTTATAGAAGAACCAATTATAAAAGAAAAATTATTTTTAAAAAGTTTGCACTTGTAATTTTTTTTTAATTTTTAGATTTGGAATTTTTTTGTTGAAATTTTTTCATAGTAATTTAATTATAAAAATCAAAAAAATTGATAGATGTTAATTTCAAGATCGTCTTTTTTAACTCCCCGCTTAAAAAATTGAGAATTTTCCACTAAAGGGAAGTTAATGATTTCGGTCCGATTTTCGAAAGTCGAGTTTTCATCGGTTTTCCACGTTTTGATGTCCCAGGAAGCCATTCTGACTATTTCCGCCGAGGTTTCCGGCCGTGTGTGGGTATATGTAAATGAATTTTTGTCGTACGGTTTTTCAAAAGCGAATCAACCGATTGAATTCTACGACACGTCATTCGAAAGGGTTTATCAAAACTTAGATCTGACTAGATTTGAGAGTTAATCTATTGAACCACACCGAAGAAACTTAAAAAAAAAATTTGAATTTTTATGTTTTTTTAAAATAACTTTGAAGCGTGCGGAAAAATCATAATAAAACCATGTATACTTTTTTGTGCTTAAAAAACTGCGTCGAATGTATTTTCGAAAATGAAAATCGAACGATGCCTTCAAAAGTTATAATTTAAAAATTCACAAAATTTTGTTTTTCGGTATTTTTTTTAGAATATCTTCAAGATTTCTTAACTAATCAATATAAACCTGTATTTTTTTTAAAATGAAAATCAAACGACGCATTCAAAAGTTATAGTTGATTAATAAATACATTTTGAGCTCGTTGAGCTTAAAATGTGAAAAACGGTGCTTCCCAAACGGCACAAATTTTTTTTTGTTAATGTTTTGTTGAATTTAAGTTGACAATTATTAATTTTTCAACTTCTTGTTGAGTGAAATCTATCAAAAAGTCAACATTTTTTTTTTGTGACGTTTGGGTCTGAGCTTGAAAAGCTCAAATATATTATATTATTAACCAAAAAACGCATTTTAAGGGGGTCCTCTGGTCTGACGCCCTGATTTTTGAGCATTTTTTTGTAAAGACCAATGAAGAGATAGAACTTTGAACTTTTTACTATTTATTTATACATATTTCAAGAGTATACAGTTAAATTTTTAGCAAAAAACATTCAATATAATTAAAGTTATAGTGGTCTGAAGACATCCGCCTCGAAAAAAATTGATGTTCACTTCCTCCATGATATCTGCTGATTTGGCTAATCTGTAATAAAAAAAAACCCGGCGGGGTTTTATTCTGTATACCTAAATACGGGAAGCGAACTACGATCAAAAAAAAATTTTGAAAATTGGATTTTTGACAGACTTTGGAACAAAAAAGTCCAAATTTAATTTTTTTTTTAACTTTTTGATACAAAAAAAAATAATTTTATTCTGTATACCTAAATACGGGAAGCGAACTACGATCAAAAAAAAATTTTGAAAATTGGATTTTTGACAGACTTTGGAACAAAAAAGTCCAAATTTAATTTTTTTTTTAACTTTTTGATACAAAAAAAAATAATTTTTTAAAAATTTTTTTTTGATCGTAGTTCACTCTCCGTATTTAGGTATAGAGAATAAAACCCCGCCGAGTTTTTTTGTTTCAGATTAGCCAATCAGCTGATATCATGGAGGAAGTGAGCGTCAATTTTTTTCGAGGCGGGTGTCTTCAGACCACTATAACTTTAATTCTACTGAATTTTTTTAGCTAAAAATTCAACTGTATACTCTTGAAATATGTATAAATAAATTGTAACAAGTTCAAAGTTCTATATCTTTATTGGTCTTTACAAAAAAATCCCAAAAAAATGCTTAAAAATCAGGGCGTCAGACCAGCGGACCCCCTTAAGGCGCTTCAAATTCAAACTTAGCGGGAAGTTCTAGAGTTGGCCTGCACGGTCAACCGATTTTTAGATTTTTTACTAAAATATTTTACTTTTTATATTAATTATAATTGTAAATAGTTATTTCCTGTGAGTTAAATTTATCCACAAGATACTGAAATTGACAGACACTTAATAATTTTATAGATTTTTATGACAATTAAATTATGATGAAAAAAATTGCATAGGTAGAAATTTTTTAAAATTATAAATACGTATTTTTTTAATTATAATTAATTTGTTATAAAAATTTTTATGATCAGTTATTAAATTCCAACTTTTCAGATAAAAAATACATCTTATAATTTTATAAAAAATTATATCCAATTTATTGTAAATAAAATTCCAAAAAATGTCACTTCCGATGCTAGTTCTGTTTTCTGTTGCTCTTGGAGCGAATAAAAAATGATTAATACGTGCTATGATGACCTAGTGTTTTATATATGAATGTGTGTGCCAATGCGTCAATGAATACTCTTCTTTCTTTTACCGTAACATCTATACTTACTAGTTACTATGCTCGTGTACCCGTGAAATGTAATCCCGACAATTATGCCAAGATTGTTAATTCTCTAACATAGATCTCTAACTGACCTCCTTTTCCTATTTTACGTGGTTTCGCTTAAAGGAATTAATATTACATTATGTTATTGTTTATGCTAGTGTCGTTATACATACCTGTAAATATATTTTATTATATTATTTATATTTATTATAAGTGTACATAAATTTACAATGCAGTTTAATGCTTTTTAATTTTAGCTTCAGATAGCGAGCGAATTAATGAGATGATTAATGTTGTAGATATGCAGGCACCTGTGGAAACATTTGTTCTGCCCCATGGAATGTATCTTCAAGGACCTGAACTTGACGCAGGAAACCTTTACACCACGTTATCGGCTAATCCTAATGTTTTCTTCCAACGAGCCCATCCAGGAATGATTTACTGATAAACTTTAATACGAATTTATTAATTGATTAGATTTAATTTTTATACTAATAAGCTTTCTAGTTCTTCTATTTTTGTATGAGTGCTTTGCAAGGACGGATGTTTTTTTTAATTGTAAATTTAATAAATTTTATAACCGATTCTTTTGTATTTATTGTTTATGTTGTTTTCTATCCAATGTTTATAAAAGAATAAGTAGTTTAATTATTCAAAGACAATTATATTTTAAATTTAAAACAAGAAATTACAATTTTAATACCATTATTTTTTTGTTATTAATGAAATTGAATTTATATTTTATTTGAAAAAAATTTGAAAAAATTAAAAAGTTGTTAAAATTTATACGAATATAATTTATGTATATGTAAAATTTGGAAGAAATAATAAATTTATGGACTTTGTCCAATTCAACATCTAAAAAAATTTTTTTTTCAAATTCAGAGTGTATTTATTAACTCTTAAAATATTGACTGATCATTCAAATAAAATAAATTAAATTATGATTTTAGTCAGAAATTAAAAACTCTCTGCATGATAAGAACTTAATAATACTTGAATATGATTTATTTTTTAGTTTAATTAAAAAATAAATAAATAAAAAAAGAGCCATAATATTAGAATTTTATTGTAAAAGTTTAAAATTTTAATTCTGAGATAATTATTGAAAATAATGTTATATAAAAATTGTCAAGAATTTTTAGTAAGAAAAATAATTCTTTTCAAAGATTATTTCTGTCAATTTTATTCCATCTATCATTTTCAAGAAGTGAGTTGAGTTAAAATTATTAAGAAATTTTTCTTCGTACTTATTAAATGAAAAAGTTATTTTTTTAAATTATTTCTTCAGTAAAACGTTGTCTACTTATTTTTTTTTTTTTTTTTTTAATCTCTTAGACTCATTTTCAATAAAAGTTTAAAATATTTATAAAATAAGAACATTTAACAAATTTTATAGTGAGAAAGTTTCCGCCGTTTATTAATTCTGTAAAATTTTCAGTAGAAAACTATGATATAAGTCAATTTTATTAGTTTTTTAAATTAAGTCAATACTCCAAGGATTATTTCGTTACTGAAGAAAAATAAAATTAAAAAAAAAAATAAGTATAGTATATCATTAACACACGAGGAGAAAGAAGATATGGTAATTATTTACAAGTGGGGTCAAACCTATTTTTGGCCATAAAAAATAGATGAATTGATGGATCATCATAACTTTTTCTTTTAACTTCTTTGTTTTTACGGCGAATTTATGGTGGTGATATCGAAAACATCAAAAAATTAATATTTCAATTAAAAAATCATCTTCGAAAGTTGGAAAAAATTTTGGCTCTCATGTTTTTTGGATAAAAATTTCTATTTTTTTTTTCTGATGGTTTTGATATATTTTTTTTTTTAAATATATTAAAAAAATAAACAATTTAAAAAAAAAAAGTTGAATATCACAATTTTCTAAAAAATTTATAAATTTTTTTGAAAATTTGTTGAAATTGTGATAATCAACTTTTTTTTTAAATTTTTCATTTTTTTTTATGTATTTTTCAAAAAAAAAAATATACCTATCAATAAAATCAAATAGAAATTTCGTTCCAAAAAATGAAAATTAAAATTGTTGACCCCACTTGTAAATATTTACCGAAGATATTTTTATCATGATATTACTGAAATTAGCAAATTTTTTACAATTTTTCTAATTAAATTAAAATAAAAAAAAACTGTACTTAAAAATTTTCAAACCTTCGACATGTGGAACTTTTATTTTTATTTTTTTAAATAATTTTTTCGATACGGAAAATCCTAAAAATTTTCTGTAAATTTCAATGTCATTTTTTTTTACAAATTAATCGACGTTTTATTACTTACAGTTCTGGAATTAAAAAATTTGAGACATAATTTATCAACATTTATTTATTCAAATCATCAACTAAGTGATTAATGATTAAAACTAAATAAAAAATTAATCTTGTTTATTTTCAAGATAATAAAGTTTTTTTATTAACAAAATAATCTTGAATATCAATAAAAATGAATTTAAACTGGTAATAAAAACCAAAAGGAAGGTAATAATCAATGATTTCACTCTTTGGATTGTAATAAATAGATAATAATACTAACTTGTAATTAACTTTAACCTAATTTTAAAGTGTATATTATTTTTTTTTCATTTGATAGTAGTTTTTTTTGAGCCCGACTGCGCTTGAAAAAAAGCGGGAACGTGACGTCACGGAAGAAGGTTATACACACAGCACACAGTTATATATATATACACTTATGTAAATGTGGTATACTCCATACGTGTCATAAATAACAGTAGTGGGTGTAGTGGTAGTGGTAGTGAAAATACAGAAAGTTGAATATTCTAGCTGTCACTAGCAGGTAAAACGTCATAATGACCAGCCAGAAGGCTTAGTAAAAATAAAAGAGATATTTTATAAAAGTTAAGTGGTTTCGATAAACACCTTGAATAATAAAATGGCTCAGATGGATTCTCTCTTTTGTTGCGTACGGAATATTAAAAACCAAACAACTGTAAACAATTATTTTACGCGGGATTCGTAAAGTAATTGGTTAAAAAAACAACTATCCAAATATCATGCATTAAACCCTAAGCTGAAACCTTAGTAATTTATTTAATACTAATAACAATAACAATCCCAGTGTAATTATATTAATACTGACTTTATATTTTTTAAAAAATAACAAGATGAATAGTCAATTACTTAGGTAAGTTTAACCTCTCTTTTATTTTATTTCATCATCTTTACCTTTTTTATATTATGATTATCAATAATTTTTTATTCAAGTTTTTATTTTGTGACCTTCAATGTTGCTACCAAGTTTCCTGAGCAAGATGCTGCTCAGATGTTGGGCATTCATCACAAGAAGTCGGACCCATCACCTGACTTCTACGTCATCGGGTAAGACTGACCTTTGAGACTGATAAAATCGCGAATTAATATGATTATAATTATCAGATTATTGACAAAACATATGTTTATGATTAAAGGCTTCAGGAGGTCAAGTCCCAGCCACAGAACGTGCTGCTGGACATGATTTTCGAAGACCCATGGACCAAAAGCTTCAAAGACATCCTTAAGGAATATGACTACGTAAAAATACGTACCCAGCGGCTTCAAGGAATGGTACTTAATGTATTTTGCCTGAGAAAGCATTTGACTCACTTGAGGTTGATTGAAGCGCGTTATACCAAGACTGGCTTTGGTGGGATGTGGGTAAGATTGCGTTCTACTAGAAAGGTTATTTTAAAATTCAATAAATTTTAATTGGTTTTATTCCAGGGAAACAAAGGAGCTGTTAGTGTACGATTGAATATTTATGGAGTTAATATTTGTATTATTAATACGCATCTAACTCCCCATGATCATTTAATGAATGATAGGATAGCTGACTATAATACAATACTTAGAGAACATGCTTTCGAAGTACCTGAAACGAAACATATCTTATTCCATGAGTAAGTTTTTTTTAGGTAGATTTTATAAAACCTATTTATTGCATTGGCTCTTGTGTTTAAATTCACATAGAATTTCGTTACTGTATTAATTATTTAGTCGAGTAAGGCTCAAAAATTACATTGGTTTGGAAGTTTATATATCGATGGTCTAATTAGCAATTTGTCTAACTCCTTATTTTTTAACATTTTGATGTAGCCATAACCGAATTATCAATTATTTGAATGATTTAAACCTAAATATTATATCTCTATTAGATAATAATGATATTAAATGGTTTTTTAAAGTGATAATAAATTTTGAACTAATTGTTTTTATCGTACAAATAGAAGATTCTCTAAAATGGAGTTAGACAATTTGCTAATTAGAACGTCGATATGTATATGTATATATTGTAAACTTTAAGAATTATAAAATTAGCCGTTTTTAAACTTCTTTAAACTTTTGAATGGGTCGGTTGAATCTGCTCTAATTTTCAGAAAAACTAAATTTATGAAAGTCCTTTTAGTAAATTCCTCAAATCGTTTTTTGATCCGTCGATCCGTTCAATAATTACAAGAGATTTAAAAACGGCTAATTTTACAATTTACAAAGTTTACAATCAGCTAATTTTATAAGTTTCTGCAGCAAGAATTGGCTAAATTCACATAGCCACAGATCTTTGTTTTTCGCTATTTTATAAATGACTGAATTTATATTTGGTGAAATTTCCATTTCGCTAATTTCATTAATATCATTTTTTATTTGCGATAATAATATAACGCGCGGCTTGTAGACACGATAACTCCTACAATTCTTAATGAATCTTCATGAAACTTGATAGACTTATTCTATAGACAATTAGCTTGAATGAGTTCAAAAATGAGCTAAATCCATCAAATAGCTTATAAATAGCAGCCATTTGAAATTTTCGAAAATGTAAAAAATCACGTGTTTAGTGAATTTATTAGGGAATAACTTTTCATTGAGAAATGATAGATTGTTTTTCTGCATTTCATTTTAAGGCTTATAAACTTCTCTTTAATTCCATCTATAATAAATTTACTTTTCAATAATTACAACAAAAACGTAAGAAGGTGAATGTCATTTAATTAAATCAGTTTCAAACAAGCACATTATAATAAAAACGCGGTTTGTGGACACGATAACTCAAATAATTCTTTTCTCAAGTCAAAAGTCTCTAGATTATATAAAATCTACCTTCCATCTTGGCGGATGCAGAATGGCCTTATTTTTTTTTTTTTTTTTTGAGTTTAGTAATTTTATTGATTGATTGATAACTTTGATTTCAGCTACGTATTTTGGATCGGTGATCTAAATTTCCGTCTTCACGGTGAAGACTTGAACGCAAGTACAATAGACTCGTTGGCTAAAAAACAAGATCTAGATGTTTTGCTAGCGAGGGACCAGTTGAAAAAGGTAATGGAGAATGGAGACGCTTTTGCAGAACTCCTTGAAAGTCCTATTACATTTCCGCCTACTTACAAATTTGAATTTTCATCTCAAGATTACGATCTTAAGTATGTAATTATATCTTTATTTAATTCTATTGTGGATTATGTAATTTTTTAATTCGGATTTGTTTTTTAGACGGCGACCCGCTTGGACTGACAGAATTTTGTATAAAGTTAATAGCGATGTCTATGAAGATATTAAATTAGCAGCCACTCAATCTAGTTATAAAAGTCATCCTGATTACGTAGTGTCTGATCATAAACCTGTGACGGCAGAGTTTGAAATTGTGGTAACTATTTTATTATTCATTTCCTGCATGTTTATTTTCAAGAGTTATTTTTAATTATTAATGGATATTCCTTTATTTACAATCGATTTGTCATTAAGGAAATATCATTTTAAGACTTAAAAATAATTTTTATAGTTAAAATAAACTTAAAAACAATTATTGAATTAATGATATTGGGTGATTAAATATTTAAATTTAGTAATTAATTATTACCATGCTGCTTGACATGGATTTCAGATCTTACATTCTTTATATGATATGATACTTTATCTTTATTTATTATGCAATTATCTTATCTATTAATAAAAAATGATGAAAGTAATTTTTTCCACAGAAAATTTTCGGGAATTTTTTGGACAGGGAAAATGAAGGAATTTGAGGATCGCATTATTTTTATTTTATTAAGGGTACATTAAAGATTATTACCTTAAAATTTTATTAAAAAATATTTAATTATTACAAAGTTATTAACAATCTCGTAGAACACTAGAAGTAATTTCTCCCTCCATGGTCGCATCGATAACTCAAAAACGGATCATCTGAAAATAAAAACCCAAATTGCTTTTTAATCAGTAAGGATGTAGTTATCGTTGCACTTACGGAATTTTAAAAATTTTGATTTTAAAAACTTTTTTAGCCGGATTAAAACAAACAAAAAACAGTAAAAATAATGAGAAAATTTTCAATCAGTCGCCATTTTTTTTTAAATTAAAATTTTCAAAATTCCGTACATGCAACGATAGCTCCATCCTTACTGATTAAAAAGCAATTTGGGTTTTTATTTTCAGATGATCTGTTTTTAAGTTATCGATTTGACCATGGAGGGAGAAATTAATTCTAGTGCTCTACGAGATTGTTAATAACTTTGTATTAATTAAATTTTTTTTTAATAAAAATTTAGGGTAATAATCTTTAATGTACCCTCACTCAATAAAATAAAAAAATCCGATCCCCAAATTTCTTTATTTTCCCTGTCAAAAAAATTCCCGAAAATGACCTTTTTTTGGACCAAAAAAAGTTTTTTTTAACAAAAAAATTTTTTTTTAATTTTTTATAAAAATTCTTTTATCTATTAAATATCTAATAATAGGTGAGACCAAATTTCCAAGACCATGGAGTAGATTTCCAATCTCTGAGCCAATGGTTCATCGATGAAGAAAATTCAGTATCTTATACACTAATTGGAGACTTTAAACCAACAAGCGGAGATTGGGTGGGACTTTTTCATCAAGGATTTTCCAGCATAGATGAATATATTCAATATGAATACGTAACTCGTGGTAATTTCGCTCATCTTAACCTTGAAAATTTGCTTGATTGAAATAACAAAAAATCGGCAATAAATAAACAAACAAATTATAAATATTTTTAGGAAGACCATCTACTACGTCAGAACCTTGTGCAATAAATGACCGAATTTATTTTAGTGATACAGCATTGAGGATGCCTGGAATGTATTGTCTGGTATATGTTGCTCAACGTGGTGATATTGTCAGCATTCTGGGTATCAGTCCGGCATTCCCGTGTCACCGAAGGCCAGGCAGTACTCAGAACTCGATCTAGTTAATTGATTAATCACGTAAAATCTTGCGATATATTAAACTCCACTTGTGTTAACTTGAGTTCAATAAACCAGTGAATTTTTTATAGTATTTTTTGCATAGAAAAGAAAAATGCGCTTCGGTGATTTTAATATGAGCTATAACTGTACCTGTTTTTAAGAGTTATCAGCTTTCAGATTTTTTAGATTGCTTTTCAACAGAGATTGTTAAATATTTAATATATTTAATAAAAAGTTTATTATTTTTTATAGGATATTTATGAATATTATAATAGGAGAGGGCAATCAAATATTTATAAATTTTCAGGAGGTGGCTTTTAGAAAAATAAATTTTTCGTTACCGAATAACATAAAAAAACAAATAAAGTTTTATTTAATAAATAATTTTCTTGTTCACTTAAATAATTCACATTTTTTTTTTCACTCAGCACCAAGCAAAAAATAAAAATAAATAACTAGTGTCTTTGTAAAAAAAACTATAAGATTATTTCAGGATATTCCTTCACGAGAAAACCTTTCAACATTGAGAACTGTCAATAAACAGCGATCCATACTCGCAACTTCTGGTTCATTTGTATCAATACCACGTAATTTTTGTACTTGATACCAGACGAGGTACCTTATGGGTTTTCTTAGTACGAAGATACCGAAGACAAAGATTCCTTGCAGTGCATTGACAAAGTCAAAGGCAGACCATGTGAGAGGATCGCCTCCAGCACACCAAGAGATTACTTCCATCGCCCAGTTTATTCCCATCAGAAAGAACAAAGCCAGACAGACAAGAAAGAGCCGCCTCAGCCAGCTCAGAGTTCGACGTTCATCTCGTCCAGATTCTCTGTTCTCACGAAGACGACGGAGGTCCAGCTCTCGTTGGTGTCGAGTTATTTCTACGGCAGTCATGGCAAATAATACAACGTTTGCAATTACCAAAAGACCTACTGGTACATAGAAGTAAGGCATTGCATTGACATCAGCTATTGAATAAAAGAAAAATTTTATAAATTATTAATAACTTGCACAAAATTTTTCCTTTTTGTTTTTATAACCCAGATATGTAGGTAATAAAGTAACTTACACTCAAACCAGCATCTTTCAGAGCCAAAATTAGGTTTTACGAAAGCAATTGGAACCGTCGGGCTCAGGTTTGCAATCATGGAAATGATAATAAGAATTGCTGGTGGGGTCCAAGCCCACAGGGAGTAATAGAAAAATAGTTCGTTGGGCTTCGTCGGTGCCCAATTACCAGTGTCTATGTATCTACGTAGCAGAAGATATGTTTCCAGACACATAACGTTGAGCCAGAAGAAACAAGCGACGAATGAAAATTGAATCACAAAGGCTAAAAAGTTCAATTTAGATTTATTTTACTTCAAACAGTTTCTTCCTATGCTGTTAAATTATTTTGACTAGCAACCTGCAGTCACTAGGTGACTGTTGAGATTTACGGATTATGAATAAGAAAACTTTGGCTCAATGATTTTTTTATGTTTATAATCATACTAAGGTAAAAGACCCAGTTATTGACACTGGCCTAGTTGTTTGACACTTGCAATTTTAGTTTAATAAAAAAAAATAAAATGTTCTCAAAAAATTAATTATCTTAAAATTTATAATTAAAAAATTATATTTATTAATTTATTAGCTTTTTTTTTTTTTTTTTTTTTTTTTTTTTTTTTTTTTTTTTTTTAATTAATTTAAAATAAAATTGCAAGTGTCAATAACTAGGCCAGTGTCAATAACTGGGTCTTTACATTATATATAGTTTGGGTACTTTTGAAATAAATTTAAAAAATAATCGTGTTATGACAAGATCAATTACAAATACTTTAATGGACAAATGGGATTGAACGAATTTATAAAACGAACAAACTATTCAAAACTGCTCCAAAAATTTAACATAAAAATTTAACTATCACTAAAAAATGCATAAAACTATGAAGAAACACAAATTCTTGTCAAGACTTTTTTGATGATGTCAAATTTAACTGTAAAAATTCCTTTCAAAATAATATGCTCGTCACAAAATTTTCTTTACTTTCTCAATTATTTGAATCATGAATGATTATCGCTGAAAACATATCAAAACCAATTTACGATAAAGATATACCTGTTACAAAATTTTTCTTAGTCTCTTAATTATATAAATTAATTTTTTACTTATAATCGTATTCACATGTACAAAATAAAATAATTAAATAAAGAAATAACGTTTATCGAAAAATTCAAATCTATTTATAACTACTTCAAAAATTTATGCAAACAAACTAACTATTGATAAAAAGCATATGAAACATTGAAAATACACAAATTCAAATCTAGACTATTCCAAAGATTTTAAACTTAAATTAAAAAACTCATTTTATAATATAAATACGCCGGAGACAAAATTTTCTTTATTCTTTTAATTAAATAAATTAGGGATTTTAATTTTTTTTAGTGACCACATTGATAAAAAAATTATCTTGATTCAATAGCAACAATCATGAACTAAGAAAAGTATCTAAACGTGTTAGATTATTTTGATTCAGGCAGAAAAATTCTTGAACTTCGAAATTTTTTTTTAGTTTAGGTAAATTTTACTTGGGTTACATGGGTTTGACGGTTTCAAAAAATCGATTTAATATTTTATTAAATTCTACATCTCTAGAATATTGTCCTAAAGTTTCAAATCGATCCGAATAATACTTTCGAAGATACAATTTTAAAAAGTTGCACGCTCAAGACACTGTTGTGTTATCACTCAAAACTTTGAACGCGTTTTTCTCAAAACTATGTTTTCAAAGATGGTACTCAAAATTTCTTGAAAACTAATCAACCGATCTTGATGAAATTTTAGACAGGTCTTAGAGATAAAATTTACAAGGTCTGGAACGAAGGATTTTTTTTTTAATTACAACTAAGATTTAAAAAAAAATGCCGCGAAATTTTAGTTAAATTTTTAATTTTTTTGTAAAAATCTCTGCCAAAAATCCAATTTTCATTTTTTTTTTCCTTCGTTCAAGACCTCGTTTGAAGTCATATTTTTTTTTTTTAATTTCAGTAATCCCTTGTTAAACATGTATCTTTATGACAGTAAAAAGTTTGAATAAAATATTTCATTTTTTCTATTAAAAATAAACTGATATTCGTGTGAGATAAAAATTTTTTTATTCAAATCTGGACAATCAGAAATGAAGAAAAAAAATCTGGAAAACGGTTGACCCTAAAGGCCATCCCTGCAACTTCCCGCTAATTCCATACCTAAACGCTTGAAATTGCACTTACGACGTTTCTGAACTCTTCGAGCTCAAAAAAACAATTTGTGTGTTATTTTGAGCTCTCCGAGCTCAAAAGAAATAGCTTTTGTATGCTTTTGAGCTCTTCGAGATCAAAAGTCTGATAGAATTTCTAAATGAAGCAATCGATTTTCATGCGGTTGGTAGAAATTCACGCAGTTTTTTAGAATCTATGATATACTTTTGAACACAAACTGATCGAACTAAAAATCTTAGAGAAATTCGAAAAATTCACTTTTTCCGAATTTTTTCGACAACGATAACTCACGAACCAATCAACCAATTTCTACGTTCTTGATGGTGATCGACGTAATTTTTTGAGCTCTAATAATTATTTCATGTTGTCAAAAACGATCCAAAAAGAAATCTCGAAGTTATGTGAAAAAAACACTTTTTTGGAAATTTTTCGTTTTTGATAACTCTCGAATGAATCAACCGATTTTGATGGGACTGGTGGCAATCAACGTGGTTTTTCAAGCTCAAGAGCTGATTAGTTTTTGGAATTGATCGGTGAAGCCGTTTAAAAGATTTTTTGAAATTTTTCGTTTTCGATATCTCACAAACGAATCAACCGATTTCGACCGGTCCAACGGTGATCGATGTGGTTTTTTAAGGTTAAGAGCTGATTAGTTTTTGGAATCGATCGGTAAAGCCGTTTAAAAGTTATTTCAAAAAAACGATTTTTCGAAAATTTTGTTTTTGAGATTTCTAAAAATTTAATGGCTATGATACTCTTTGGATCGCCACTGATTTCGATCCGATCGGCCAAGCCGTTCAAAAGTTATGAGAGGTTTACACACACACACACACACACAGCCGCACGGACACCATCGCGGGAATAGTCAGGAAAGCTTCCTAGGACCTCAAAACGTCGAGATCTGATGAAAACTCGATTTTCGAAAAACGGGGTAAAAACAATAACTTCCCGATTTTTGAAAATTTTCAATTTTTTTTAGCGGGAAGTTAAAAATTATTGATAATAAGCCATTTTTTCCCCGGAGAAAACCTATGTAACCCCTTAATCCAAGAATTTTTCTTTTTGATTAAAAATGATCTAATTCTTAAAAAATGATTTTATTGGTTCAATATTTTTGCTCGTGAATCAATTAAATTTTTTTTTATCAGTGTAGTCTTTGTAAATAATGAAAAAGCGACCAACAAACCTATAGAAACACAAAATTGGTCATTAAGATGAGCACTTGCTAACTGAACAATCGCTAAAGTTGTAAACGCAACGGCTAAGCATCCACAGTAGTGACAGAGTGCTTTGCCATGTACATCCATAAGTTTAGGTGTGATGCAATAGGCAATGATAGTTAGAATTAAAAAGGGCACTGAAATAAGAAGACCGGAGGCGTAGAAAGTCAAACGGAAGTCAGCGGTCACTTGATCTTCTGGAAATGAATAAAGATGAGTGTTAAATTACTCGACTCTAGTTGTCTAAATGGGTTTTAGTGATAATCTTACGTTCTTGGAAGCACACGAGTGTTCTTAAACCGCGCTCAGGAATAATGTCCATGCAATAATCGACTCCCAATGCCAGCATTGAGGGTACTTGATGTGGACTAAAGATAGAGCCGTTGAGTAACAAATAATGCTCGTCATCACTCGATATTTCAGGTTCTAACATATATCTGTAAATGATTATTATCAATTTTATTATTTTTTACTTGTTAAACTCTAATCTTATAAATATATTAAATATATAAGATAGCGTTACTTATCTATTTAATTATATAACAACAATGTTTACCTTTTGTGCTTACATGGATCGCCAATTATGGCAACAAAATTGTCCTTTTTGTCACCTGGAGCGAGCGCTCCAGTTTTGTTGAAGTCGCTGAAGTAAGGTGAAAAAATTGGATAACTTGGAACATCCGCTGGTGTACATTTCGCCATACCGTTCTCGTCTTTCGCCATTATTTCTTCTAGAGAGCAGCATTTTCCAACTCTAGGTAACTTTGGGTATTGTTCTAGAGTCCAGGAGTCATTCTGAAGAAATTTTAAATTACAATTATGTCTAGACAACTTTTGAATAAGAAATAGCTCTAACAATAAACAATACTCCGTGCAGGGTCGGTGAATTTTAAATAAACTAATTATTTTATGTACTGGTGTGCTTCTAGCTTGAAATTGAAATCGCCATATCTGGATGGACTCGAATAGTAAACGAATCGATATTAGAACTCTAAAAATAATCACGTCAAGGAGAAGTTTGCTTGTAAGGAAAGAAATTCATACAATTTCTTAACAACCAATGATAAATTCTTTCTCAATAGTTAACTCTTCTAAAATTTATGTTATTATTGCATAATATTAAATTGATTTATTGCATATATACTTCCGAGAAGTATATAGAAGAATATAACTTACCAAAAAAATTGAGATAATTGACGCAGGTTCCAGGAGAGAATTAACAAAAATTATTCTTGATAAAAGTAAGTACGTGAAGATTGATTTTAAAATCCGATTTTCTTCTTGAAGAATATGACGTGTCACTGCCATTAAATTTCACTTATTTAGTCTTTTATGAAATATACTTTTTTACATTTTAATAAATAATATAACTTGCTTTGAAATTTCACATAAACCATTTCAAACTCTCGCTAAAATCGCTAAAATTTTTTATAACGTTTAATAATTACACACCGTTAGTTTAATTATAAAGAAATAATAAAGTTTCATCCTTTTGAATTATAAATCATTAATCACAAAGTAAAAGTAGATTTAAAAAGTAGCTTTGTATTTCGCAGGTACTCGCTTGTGGATCGATCGGTACATACTGACACTCTATACAGCTTTAAAGAGTTACTATATAATGGAGTTGGTGGAGTAAGACAGTAATCGCGGTATCGTGGTATTGCTGCTGATGAACCAAGACCAGGTGGAGCTACGCTGATACTGAAAAAACAACACCCAGATGTAGTATGTACATATACTAAATAGTAGGAAGAAAACTGTTGTATTTTTATTATCATGTTACAACTCACCGGATTGGCAGTTTGAGAATTTTAAGCTCATCCTGTTTAAATTTAATTCCTCTGATTTTTTTATGGATCACTCGTTTGATCAAGCAAGAATACATTCTGCTTTGCCATCTAATCCCACTGTATCAACGTATTTGATGAGTGGTTTTTATCTTTTTGGGGAATTCCTGACGTCGCTTCTTCGCAAACAAACAAACGACGCATTTGATTGGAATTACGACGTCATATCAGCGAGAACAGTAATTGGAAAAATATTCAATAATGAGTCTAAAATTTAAGAATAAAATATGATTAATCGATAAGTATTGGAAGTGTTAATTATTTATAGTAATAATAATAACAATGTTTATACTTTAAATATATTTTTTGCAGAGATAAGATAAAGTAGACATTATCGATATTGGCATTTATTTGAGGTTATCTGATCTCTATATTTACAATTTGTAAAAGCGAAGAGCTAAAGAAAGAAAACGATTCACAGTTAAGTGTATTAAAAAATAATGTAAACATTGAGACTGAGATGAGGCTAAACACCCTTTTTTTGTGTATATCCACAAACTTACAAATTTGATGATGATGTTCAGATATATAAGCAGTCAAGTTAAATATCTGGGGATTATTTTTAAAACTGAATCATTTTAATAGCGATATGCACTGATAATTTTATTCCTACTGTTATTATATTATCTTTAGATTTTTTTTTATAAACTCTGTAATTTAACGGTTCCTTTGTTTGACGATTGTTATTATAAGCCGGTGAATTTGTTAATATTATAAAACATTGATATTCTAGAGTCTTCCTTCCCTTGTTGAGAAAAACAAAAAAAATTATCAATCCATGCAACTTGGATAATATCTTATCTACATTGAGTAAAAAAATTTCTCTTGAAAAAAATGACCAATTTTTTAATAAAAAATTAATTTGTTAAAAATTTTAAATAATTTAATTTTTCTTTCCTGAAGAAATAGAAAATTTTTATCACAGTAGAAAAAAATTTTCTAGATTTGGGAAGAAACAATTTTGGATTAATTAAAAAATTCGCAGGGTCTCTATCTAAAATTATTTTTTTCTTAATCAAAATAACTTTTTTTTTTTTTCAACAAGTAAGTTATTGTGAGAAAAATTTTTATTTCTTCAGCTAATAAGAAATCATTTAAAATTTGTAATAAATTAATTTTTTGTCCATTTTTTTAAAAATAAATTTTTTCTTTCAGTGTATAATAGTAGTCAACTCAATTCATTCTAAATTCTTTTTAATTATTTTAAATTTTTTTTCCTCATAAAGGGTTAAAAGTCTTATAAAGTATTAAGTGATGGTATTCTTTTTGCGTTTAAATTAATTTAAACTCTAGCAATTTTATATGAATAAGTTAAAGCAAACTGGGGTTGAAAATAAAAGGTATTTATTTTAAAAATAACCAAGAATAATATCATGTCTATTGCACTACATGTAATTTGTTGAAGTTATTATCATTATTTGCAGGTATTTCTTTATAGGTTTATTTTATAAAGCTACTTATCGTAGCAATAGTGGGTATCATCCATAATATGTTTCGAGCCGGAATTATGTTACGTCGGATCAATATACAAGATTATTTAGTATTACTTTGCAGTAAATCAGCTTCTTGAGAAAAGTAATTTATCATGACGGATAAACGAATTTTGAATAATTTGTCATGCAAAGTGTTAAATTATAGAGTCTTTGATATAGTTAGCTTTGATTGATTTGTTAGAAGAAACAAGTAATGACTATAATAACATTTAAAATGTCCTTTAAGATATAATTTGTCTATAGAACTATTAAAAATGCAAAATCCATATTTTGTGCTTTACATATTATGCACGATTTTTTGAATGGCCTTAAAGAAGTATACACTGAGGCCAATTAAATTTTTCAATGTAAACTCTGAATAATTTGCATATTTTTTTGAGAAGAAAAATTAATGTAAGAAGAAATAAGAACAAATTTATATTTTAAGAATGTTTTATAAAAATATGTATTGATTATTTTCAATTTTAGTGACCGAGTGAGGTACTTGTACGTTTATGAAGAACCAACAAGGAATACAATGATCCCCCGGAGTATATTGATCAAATCGGAAGCAAGCCATAAAAAGGGATCGCCTCCAGCAGACCAGGAAATAACTTCTATCGGGCAAGTTTATACCTCGAGAGAAGAATAATAGCCAGACAGCAGAAAAATAGCTGTCTTAGGTATAAGCTAGCTTAAGGTGCAAGAGGTTCATCTTCGAAATGGCTGTCTATTCTTCAGCGTACTTCAGGGATCCAGTTCTCCTTGGTGACAGGTTATTTTTACCGCTGTCAGTGTGGAGTTCGACGTGGTAATTCATAATCATTAGAAGACCTACAAGTAGAAGTAATAAATTGCGTTTGCGTAACCAGTTAAAAATAAGTTTCAATTTATTAAACGATTATTCTTTAATTGATTAATTTACGTTGTAGGTAGTGGTTAGTGTCGGACTTTGTAGACACCAGAATCTTTGATATCAAGGGGAAATAAGTTGATAGTAGAAACTCGTAGAGAATAATAACAAGTGCTCCTTCTGCTATTTCTTCAAAATTAAAAAAGAAAATGAAATAACTTTTCAAACAATAAAACACCGATTCAGTGATATATTTTATTTAAATCTTTTGAAGAGGAATTTTAATTAGCAAGTTTCTTAAGTGACTAATCTCCATTAGTAATGGAGAGATGAAAAGTACAGCTAGACGTGGAACTAGAGATTAGCACGTCAGAACAGTTGCTAATGTAAAAGCTGTTATTAAATATCAACGGTAGATACATACACTGACTATGAACGACCATACGACCATAGATGTGTTGTAATAAGCAATAATAATGAGCTAATGAGTAATGATAATAATAAAAGAAACAAAGACCAACAGTATATAAAATCACATGTAAAGATATTAGTCTTTTGATCTATTGAATTCGTTTATAGTCGAGTTTTATAAATATTTTCTAGCCTAGGTTATTTTTTCTTCCGAGAATCACGCAAGTGTTTAGAACCTTGTTTCATGTTATGGTTATAACTATGCAATATGCTCGTTTTTCACTGTCAATATCGTGAGGTTAAAATTCAAAGTATGTTTCTAGACCAAGTATATTCATCAACAGTTAATTAAGCTGACATGTATTTTTAGGTAGATTTCATTAGAAATTTAGCTATTGTAGTCGGTCTTATTTCGCAATTTTAAAAAAATTTTCTCATATAATGTGTTTTATTTCGTCGAGTTATGCCGAAAAAATAGCATTGGCTTAAAAGTATGTATCTTTATGAAATTTTTTGAAGTTATTCTATGAATCAATACCAAGATTGAGTTCAAAGATAAGCAAAAATGGCGGGTTAGTTTATGAGTTGTGGGTGTTTAACAATTTTTTTCATTTTCAAAAAATTTTTTATTTCGTCAATTTTATGGAGATGACTTTCCAGATGTAAAAGATAGATGAAATCAATTAAATTAATTTTGAAGTTCTCATGATTATCTTCAATTTAAATTATTGTTTATCTAATTTTTGTGATTTTATTTGATTAATTCCGTGATTTTGAAAATTTGAAAAAAATTTTTCAATTAATATATTTCAGGGGCTTTTCTTAAAAAAATTTTTCAGCCACAAAAACTAGCTTAACTCTATTAAATTTATATCAAAGTTCATACAATTATCTTCAATTTAAGCTATTATTCACCGACTTTTGAAATTCATTTCGTAGTTCGTAAAATAGAAAATAAATTGATTTTTTGGTTTTATTATCAAATAACTTTCTTAAATTACAAATCCTACTTTTAAGGTAGTTTTCTTTTTTAATATTCACTCTAGAAATCTACCTATCCATTTCAGGTGTGGCCGAATGGTGCTATTTAATTAAATTAATAATTCTTGTTAAATTTTTTCAAAGTTCTACGGTAGCCAAACTTTTATATTTTGTTAAGAAAGTTTCCCGGTGACATTCGAGTCCAGGAAGTGCGTCGAAAATATATGGGATAACTTTGGCTACGGCGCACATTTTACCATTTCTATCTCGTCGGTTGTCATTATATTCCTCCGTGCCAAGTGAACAACATTTTCTAACTGCCTGAATAGTAGTTTTAAAAATAATTCTGATGCGCAATTTCGGTTCATAAATTATTTCAGAGATAAACATAATTACTAATTTTGGGTAAAACAAGTCTAGACTACTTAATACGGCTAATATATATTAAGGATTTAAAATTTCCTGTTCAATCCCGTTTTTAAATTAGTAATTCATATACGATTATTAAATGTCTGAACGTCTTTATTTGTAATCGAACCGACCTGCCGTATCTGGATAGTCTTGAATAGTAAACGAATCGATACTAGAACTAAAAATAATTACGCCAAGGAGAAGTCTGCTTGTAAGGAAAAAAAATTCACCGACAAATAACATAATGACAAATCGATCCACAACACCCGTATAAATTTTCTTTATTTTATTACAGATGTACAATAATATGTTATTTTCGTACATATATACCCAATATATAACCGGTAAATACTTACAAATAGTTCAATTATTGCAGGAATCAATATTGGATAAACTTTATTGCGAAAAAATTTCAGAGGTTTCTGAAATTGTTTTTTATTATTTCTTACTAAAGTATATCGCGTGCCAAAAGGTAAAAGGGTGCATATTTTTTTTTTTTTATCACCAATCGACTGGTTAATATATTCTTCGCCTAAAAATGAAGCATTGATTCCCTAAAGCTAAAAGGGCATATGTCTCTAATTATGCGCCCTTTTAGCTTAAGAAAGTCAAAAATTTTGTGAACTAAATCTAAAGGGCCTATAAATTTTTTTTCTAAAAAATTTATTAAAATGCTTATTTTTAGCCAAAAAATTGAAAAAAAATGGTAGAGTCAAAAAAGTGTATTCTAACTATACATTTTTTTTAAAAATATTTTTAAAAAATTGCAAAATATGCGTGATTGTATTAATTCATTTTTATTTGAAAATTATTTTAATTCCATTAATTTATAAAAACTAAAATTTTTTTATGCACCCTTTTAGCTTTAGGCACTACTTTTCTAAAAACTAAAAGGGAGCATGTTCGAATTTTTTTTTTTGACAGACCTTTGTGTTTTGAATTTTAAGAAGAATAACAAGAAAAATTTTTTTATGCGCTCTTTTAGCATGGATCCCTACTAACTTGTAGCTATGTGCCCTTTTTGCATTAAGCACGCGATATATGAAAATTAAGTTAGCTGACATGTAAAAGTTTTTAGAATTTTTTTTATTAAAAAAATAATTTTTTTTTAAAAAACTTTATAAACTATAAGTGCAATTTTTCAAAAATATTATTTAGTTTTAATTTAATAATTAAATAAAAAACTAACAATGAACTTTAGTATTATAAAGTATATTGGAGTTTAAAATATATTGTCTATGAAATTTTATTTTTGTAAGATTTAAAAACATTCGTGCATAAGACTTGATAGATAGTAGACAAAAATTTATATCTTTAAGTTTTGCCACGTTTAATCGTGAACAGTTCTTCCCTCAAAAATTTAAAACTCTTTATCGATCATTTCAAAAAATTATTAATGATTAAAAATTAAAGTTTTAAAAGGGAACTATGTAAGAGAGCAGCGTTTTTGTATATTTAAAATTATAATACTTATATTATTAGATACCATAATGAATAATTCTTTGAAATATTATCTGAACCATGCAGTTTAATTGATTCCATTAAAAAAATGGTATTATCGACCATTAAAATTAATTGCTTATTATTTTACTTGGTATAATTAAAATTATTTCAGTTTATTTTTCACCGTACTGAGAACAAGCACACACAGAAAAAAAACTTCTTGCACCAAGAAAATTTTAAGGAAGACAAAAGTTATTTTGGAGCAAGAAGAAATTTTCTTGGCTTAAGAAACTTTGACTTCATTCAAGAAATTTATTAACATTTTTTTTGAGTCAAGAAAATTTATCCTCCAATCAAGAATTATTTTTTTTTTTTCAGTGCATGAATAGGTACAGTTGATTACAATATTAAAAATGATATATATGTCAAATTAAATAAAAAATAAAGATGGACGTCAAATCAACGATATTACTGAATTTAGCAAACTTTTTTTAGATTTTTATAATAATTTACAAAATTATTGATATACTTAAATATTTTTCTTACAACCCCAATAAATTATGAAAAATTAAATTATCCGACATCTCAAAATTTTTATAATTTTTTTTATTGAAAAAATGATTACAAAAAAATTTGAATAAAAAATTTCACATGTAGAAGATTTGAAAAATTATACATGCAATTTTTTTTTACTTGTATTAATTTAATACAATTAAAAAAACTTTTAATTTCATAAAAAGTTAGTACTTCACTTAACTCTAGTGTAGTGCATGAACGTCCTTTTAAAGGTATTTATCTAATTTTTGATACATTTCTATAAATTTCTTAAAAAATTATAAAATATTTCAATAATTTATTTATAATTCTTTTTTTTAATAATAATTCTAATTCATTACTGTAAAAAATCTGAATTTTTTCTTTCTTTACAGGGCTGATATATATAGATAGCTACCATACACCGATTACTTGAGTTCCTCCAGCGGTTGTCTGCCCTTTCTCCAGACTAGATCATCTTATCTACTTTCAACTTATTGAAACTTCTACTGCCTGCTTAGAATAATTTTCTACCAATCGTCTGAATCTCAAGCTCACCAACGGTACCGCCCATCGAAACTTAAAGATTCTTATAAGTTTATTAAACTCCGTTTTACGTTAATGATTAAAAATCATTAATCATATAGATAAGAATTACTAGAAATCAATTATATACGAATTTATATCAGAAAATGACGCACTAAAAGTTGAAATCAATAATAAAAACGTTAGTTAGAGTGATTTATGTGACTCAAGCAAAATAAAATTTTCTACTCTGATAAAATGATTGATAAGATAAAAATAGAACGAAAATAATTGATACATCAATCAATTTATAAAAGTATATTTATATTTATTAACGCATTATAGTAATTTACTGTTAATATTAATTGACAGAAATAGTCTAGAAGCGACATTTAGTCTGATCTTTCTGTTTATTTAAAAACTTTATTTTAAAAGTATTACGCACGCTCATACCAAAGCCGGTAGATAAAAACAGATAAATATTAACTATTCGAAATACTGTTTTTAAAAAAGCTAGATTATTATATCCTTACCCTATTTAAACTGGATTTTAATGGGATCGATAACTTTTAATGTCCAGTGAATTTCATTTAGCAAGTTTTAACTTTTTAACTCGGTAATAAAAGATTCACTTTAATTAGCTTCATGACTTTAAACCATTCTTGTAATTTATTCATTGATACGAAAAAAATTCCATGACGAAATAATTCTATAACTAATAAATTATCCGGTTTTTATTAGTGATGTCAATTATGAATTTTTAATATGTGTCTCTATTAATAATTGATTACTTTTATATACAGTCTCACAATCATACAAAGTTAAGACTGTAAAGTTGTAGGCATCAAAATTTTACGCGATTAATTTTTAATATTAAATTAA